CCAGTAATCCTAACAGACACTTCTTAGAAATTATACCTTCTACCTTTCACATCCTACCCCAAAACCTACCCCTTTCTCTTGAAAAGGCATTTGCATAGAGGTTTTTTATTTTTTTCCTGCTTATATTAAGGGCTTGGCTGCTAACCAAAAGGTCGGCAGTTGGACTACCAGCCACTCCTTGGAAACCATATGGGGGGGCAGTTCTACTCTGTCCTATAGGGTCGCTATGAGTTGGAATTGACTTGACGGCAATGGGTATGTTAAGATATTTTAACCTCCTTCACCAAATATTGCAGGGAATACAAAGAAATATGAGCTGCTGCCTTGGAGGACACTGCAGTCTTGACGGGGAACTGCAGGACAAGGGGTGTATAACGAAATGACAATTATGGTAGAAGAGGACAGTGTGGGCTTAAGTTGTCAGAGAAGGCCCCACTGAAAAGGGAGCGTTTGAGCGCAGCATTAAGGATATATTGGGTGACATTTGAGCTCAGCATTAAGGGTAGATTGGGTTTGGTTGGGGAAGGTGCAAAGGAAGAGATATTCCTTCTAGAAAGCACAGCTGGGCAGATGTGCAGAGGTGGGAATGAGCATCACGAGCTCAAAAGACAGTGACAGGACACCAGCTTGGCCATGCGGAGGGTTTATGTTGAAGAATACTGGGCAGAGAGGTGACTGGGGATCCTGAGGCCAGTTGATGATGAGCCCTGAGTACCAGGCTGAGGAGTTTGTGCTGGCCCTTCTTGAGCAATGGAGAGGCATCGGGAAAACGGTCCCTGGATGAGGGAAGACTGGAGATGGGGACGCTTGTCCGAGTCTGTAGAAGAAGGTTCAGGAAGGTTTGGGTAGTTAAGCAGCACTGGATAACTAGAACACAAGCTCTTGTGGTATTCTGAATTGCCGCTCATCTTCAAGGCCATTAATAGATGTGAGTTGAGCAGGAGGTGGGTTATTTCTTGTAGAAAGGGGCTTGAGTGATTTGGGGTGATGGAGAGAAAGCTTGGTGAGGCTATTGGCAGAATAATGAGAGATGAAGGAAGATCTTTGGGGGCCAGTGAGGGACAGAGTGAACACCAGATCCATGGCTTTGTCACTGTTCTCCACACCCCTGTGTGCTTTCTGTGACTGTCCTAACTGTTCTAGAGAAGGCAACTAGATCGAGCAGGTGCTGGATCCTGGCAAGAAGGTGGAAGGGATCTTGAAAGTCTGGAAATTATCTGCAGAAGAGGAGTGAGTGACAGACTCAGGAAACCAAACACCCAAGGGAACAGAATAAAATAAAACAGACTAGCATATTACTGGCTGTTAGTTTGGAAAGGAACCTTCGAGACTGTATTCTAGATAAGGAAATCAAGATTCCACCCTCGGAAAACAGTTAAGTACTGATAACGGAGTACAGACAGTACAACGGAATTTCAGAGAAGAGGTCAAGTTCAGAAATGAGATTTGGAAAGAAGAATATGAATGGCTGATGGGCTTAGAGAAGCTTTCCAGGTAGGGAGGGGAGAGAAAAATGAGAGAGGATGGAAATGCTGACGAGCTCTTTCTGGGCCTAAGAAGGGGGAAGGTGTGGCAGTTCTTAAAGATTCGCGTAGGGACCCATGCTGGAAGCTTTATCTATAATACCATAAAGGACAGTTCTAGCAATCTGAAAGGAAAAAATACACCGGGTGCACAGAAGAAGGAAGACAGGGGGGTGACCAATTCCCCAACAACCAGACCATAAAATATCAGAATATCCAAGATCTGCTTCCCTGGCGCTGTGAACACAGGTGGGAAGAGGCAGGCAAGGGCAGAGCCTAGTAGATGTTACCTTTCCTCCTCCTTGCTTTTTCAGGCTGTAATAAATACATTCAAAAATTTAGAAGCAATGTTGTAAATCTGGGCTGAAGTCTTCTGAGGGCGGTTTCTGATGAAGATAACTGAAGCCCCCACACTGTTCCTCTCTCCTAGTTCTTTCCTGCAACTCTCAGTTTCATTATCTTCCTTAGAAAAGGATCAGAGGCGACTTCAGCATGTAGGGGGGAAGAGAAGAGTGTCCATCACAGTCAGATTTGACAGGACAGCGCCTCCCTCTTCCCCTAGAGCCACTTAAAGCATTTCCGTCTCCACTAGACTAGCTCAAGCTCATGAGCATCTGAACCATGAAAGAGGGAAGACGCGAATTTGGAAGGCAGTGATAGCTCAAGACTGGCGTCTGTCTGGATGCATCTCTTCTTACCCCCAGTTGTCTAAATCAGCTTATCTCAGCCGTCAGAAATGTTTTTTCCTCTTTTCAGGAAATGCTCCCAATTGGTAGACTATGAAATGGTCCCAGGGGATTTCTTGAAAAGGGGAGAGGGAACATGTTCCTGCTACAACCTTATTTAAAATTCAGTGTAGGGTATGGGGCCAAGTCCATGATTAAACTCAAAGCCGCCATGGGCATGTGACGCATGGACCAAGTGCTTCCCTCGAGAGGTGAAACCCTCATATTGCTCCTTACTATGAGCAGTTAGAACTGAGACACATCACTGTATCTTAGAATTGGGGACTAGAAGGGACATTAGAAGATCATCTGGGTAATTTCTCTGGCTTCAGAGAAGAGTAAATCGAAATCACTCTATACGTACTAAATCTCCCTTGTTTGTAAATTATATTTCTCTGAAGAACTTCACAGATGTGTCCTGGAGAGCTATTTAGAATTCATCACTATCAGGAAATTGTTCACGTGCAATCCCTCACATTTCAGTTTAAGCCTCTTTCCTGGAGTTCATCCCATGGTCAAGAGCCATAAGAGCTGGTTATTGCCTTCCTAATAAGAAGACTTCACACCCTTAGATACTGTCATTTCTGAAACTTTTCCCCACGTGCTCTATTTTCCTGTCTTTAAATACTTATTGCTTGATCCCCTCCTGCACGTCAGTTGCTCTTCTTTAGGTACGACACCCGAACGGGACTCTGTGCTTCAGGGAAGGTTTGGTCAGCTCTCAGGACATGCACGTCCAGGACCATGTTGGCTTTGGAAATCACAGCACAAATGGCTGATGGTCATTTGTTGTCTTGTTTTTCTACCAAACTCATGTGCCGTTGCTCCATCTTTGATCTAAACATTTTTTTTTCTTCCCAATAACACTTGTTCACCAAATTTTTTTTAATGGACCGTGATGAAATGGTTTTAACTGGGTACTCAGTGATATATAGGACCCATTTTCTTAACATCAGGAAATACATGGGGGAAAGGGTATTTAATGGAAAGCTTTTTTCTAACACCTGACCTGACCATCCATTTCCCTTCCACAGGGCCCACCCATGTTTCCTGTTATTTGTATATTCATGGAGCGTGCCCAGGCATGTAAAAGGAACCAACAGAATGCATTTTTAACATAATCAGCAGTCTACTTTACACCCTGTTTGTCTTAGTTACCTAGTGCTGCCATAACAGAATACACAATAAGTGGAAAGCTCTAAAGAACAGAAATTTACTGTCTCATAGTTTTGGAGGCTAGAACGCCAAATTGGGCATCAGCTTTAAGGGAAGGTTTGTCTTTGTCGGGGAGCCCTGGTGGTGCAGTGGTTAAGAACTTGCTGCTAACCAAAAGGTCAGCCGTTCAAATCCACCAGCCGCTCTTTGGAAACCCTATGGGGCAGTTCTACTCTGTCCTATAGGGTCACTATAAGTCAGAATCGACTTGATGGCAACGGGTTTGATTTTTTTGTTTTTGTCCTTGTTGGTGGCCCCAGGAGTTTCTTGGAGTTCCCTGACACTCCTTGGTGACCCCCCCCCCCCCCACCGTGTGTGTCTCTGTGTCTATTCTGCTGTTTGTATAACAGAAGTGATTAGGTTTAGGACCCACCCTACTCTGATGTGGCTCATTAACGTAACAAAAGAAAACCCCTATTTCAAAATAAGCTTATATTTACAAGAACAAGGATTAGGATTTCAACACACATTTTTAGGGGGCACGGTTCAATCCATCACACTGTTCTACATGTTTTTTTTTCTAATTTAACAATACACCTTGGGGATCATTCCATTTTGGTGCACACATGTCTTCCTCATTCTATTTGATGGCTGCCTCATAGTCTATTGAATGATACACCATATTACTTTGATTCCAAACCTTTCGAAAACATCCTCTACCAGCTGAAGATTATCGAAGACTCGCTATCATACTTCACCTTCGTTGTACAACTGTTTGCGGAGTGCTTGCTGTGAGCAGAGCACTGTTTGGTGCCATAGGGAATGCAAGAAACAGTAAGTGGCAGCCTCTGGGGTCCAGGAAACTACAGTCTCATCAAGGAGAAAAGACAGAGGGATAAGGAGACTTGGTTTCCAATTCTATCCTTCCATAGTTTTCCTTTGTTGTATATCAAGCACTCTTTCTAACAGATGGTACAAATGACCTTTCCGTTTGTTGGGTGTGCATACAATATGTGTGCCTAATCTGGCTTATACTAGGAGCCTCTAGAGTAGGGATCTCAAACCCAAATGCCTACAAGGACCAGAAAAGTGACTTAAATGTGTAAAGTGATTTAAAGTAAGCCAATTGGGAGAGCATGAGCTCTAAACAAAGGGGGCAGCGGCCTGCCACTCTGCTCCAGGTGATTATTTCTGGAGCTTCCAGAGCTTCTGATTGCTTTAAAAAACCTGATGGATTAAAGTATGTGGGATGTTTCAGTAATATTTCTATAATAATCTATAATTATCTTAAAAAACAAAGCTTAATTAAAAAAAAATCCAGAAACCTAGATCTTTGTCTGAAATGACCTGATTAATGAAAGTAGACAAATTTTTAACACCGTGCAGGCCCAACAAAATGGATGTATAAGTCAGACTCAGCCTCGGGGCCAAGCACCCTCTTCTATCTGCATAGCTGGATCATTATAATTTGATGTGTATCAAGCCCAAGGCAGCCCACATCCACAGGTTCACTTAAATTATCTTCTTGCTGCTGTAACTTTCAGTCGCCTTTGACTCTGACCATCCCACTTACTTGTTGAGTTTTCTCTCACTCCAGGTCCTTGGATGTGGCTCTGTTGCCCAAGCCGTCCTCAGTCGAGGGCATTTTGGAGGGATTGTCACCATCAATGTCGGATTTGCGATGGCTGTTGCCATGGCCATTTACGTGGCTGGAGGTGTTTCCGGTAAGTCATGGAAATAATGACCGCTACTACTAACACAACCACCCCAACGCGCTGGCTTTACATTCAAAACGTACATTAGTGGAGCCCTGATGGCGCAGTGGCTAAGAGATCAGCTGCTAACCAAAAGGTTGGCAGTTCGAATCTACCAGCCGCTCCTTGGAAACCCTATGGAGCAGTTCTGTTCTGTTCTACAGGTTCACTATGAGTTAGGAATGACTTGACGGCAACAGGCTTAGCAATTTACAAAGTGTTAAGTGCTTTACATACCTTAATTTACTTAGATCTCATACCTTAATTTACTTAGCTCTCAACAATCCTACAAGAATATGTGATTCCTTTTTATAGATGAGAAAATTAAAGTGGCCAACAAATAGTGACTTGTCCAACATTTAGCAAGAAGCAGATGTGAGGAAGGAGAACGTTTAGAACTGGCTCATTCCTAAGCTGGTCCACTGCATCATATTCTTCATCATTCAGTGCGATCTTTTGCTTGTTCTAACCTACATTTGGAAGCCATTTCTGAAATATTCCATGAATAGCTCAGGGAAGGTCACTCCACAGAAACAAGTCCCTGGACCTTTATCCACAGCAATCAAAGACAATCTAGATCTCTTGCAAAGTGGCTGGGCCTTTCATGGAAGTATAGGTCTCATCCAGAATGTCTTGGTCCAATACCGTCCTGCGAGATGGACTGATTAGAAGGTATCCTCTAAGTTCTGAGAAGTCAAATAGAATGACGATATTTAACCAAGTCTGGGAACTTAGGAAGGGAGTGTAGAAATGATCCAATTACCAATGGCACCCTGAATCTTTCAGCAGCCGGGTTTGGGGACCAAGAGCACTGAGACGAGGCTGTTGGTGATAAGGGAAGAACCACCACCACCTCCAGTTGCCATCGAGTTGATTCTGACTCCTGGTGACCTCATGTGTATCAGAGTAGAACTGTGCTCCACTGGGCTTTCAATAGCTAATTTTTCAGAAGTAGATTGCTACGCCTTTCTTCCAGGGCACCTCTGGGTGGACTCAAACCTCTAAGCTTTCAGTTAGCAGCCCAGTGTGTTAACCGTTTGCATCACCAAGGGACTCAAATTTTCCTGAGCAACCACTCCATGCTGGGCACTGTGCTGGGTGCCCATACTTTGTTTTCATTCCCCTTTACAACAGCACTCTGAGGTGGATATTATTATCTCCATTTTACAGAAAAAACTAGGGTTCATGGGAGGTTAAGTAAATCACCAGAAGTCCCGAAGCTGGTAAAGAGGCAGAGCAAAGATTTGACCCAGGTCTAAATGACAGCAAAGCTCACATTCCTGTCGTTACACAATGCACCTGACCATCCATGATGGAAGAACATTACAGGCAGAGGCTCTGGGATGACCTAGACCAACAGAAGACTGTGCAGTTAGATCAGCTGCCTGATGAGCAATGCTCCCAGCAGGGTGCTAAAGAATGACGGCTGAGACTTCCTGGGAGCCTCCGTGGGTGGGGCACCTGTGACAGACATCTGCTGGCCGACCTCGTTCTGTGTTATGCAGGACTCTGATCCTAGGGCGGTGCTGGATTACACCAATTCCTGCATAGGGGACTTGAGTAGAATGGGCAGTGCTTCCACCTACATGGTTGTCCAGCCTTCCCTGTGATCTCAGCACTTACCTCCAACCGTAAGGCAGACCACTGGCAAGGCCCCAGAGTGTGTGCCACGAATGTGCCCAAATGGGCCAGGGCTTAGCTAGAGTGGGGCCTTGAACCAGACACATAACGCACTCTTGGCTTAAAGCAGCCACGCAGGACCCTTGCTTGCTGTCCCACCACTTCACTCCAGCGTGACCTCCACAAACATGCGTGTTTTCAGCCGCATTTTTTAGGTGAAGATGTGATCTGGGAGTGTTTGTCCTGCATAACACCCCGACTGAAATACTGGCAAATATTTGCTTTGGATGAATGGATCCCAGGCCCTACCAGTCTAGTTCACGCCCGTCATCATCATCGCTGTCCATCCGTTTGCATCCGTTGATGAATTTGGGGATTTCTGTAGTCACTGTAGGAGGAAAGAGGGCAGGGACCAGCAGAAGGAGAAGAAGGCATGAGAGGAAGGCACAGAGTCCCCCATCCGCCCCTGGACTGAGTTTAACCTGTAGTTTGAAGGGCCAGGGCCAGACAATGGCAGTTTTCACTGGAGGCTGTGTTTGGGTGAGGGCCAGAAGCTAGCTGATGTTTATAAGCCATGGGTGGTAAAACGTGGCACGGGTAGTAAGGGAGCCCTTGTCTCCATCTCTGCTTAGAACACAGCACCATTCAGGTTCTCTGAGGACTGGAGGCTTTGGGAAACTGCAGGGACAATGTCACTGGCCCACCGGTGACATCCACACAGGTGATACCATCAGTATCGGCCTCAGCAGCCACGAGCAAAGGAGAGGAAGATTAGAGTGTGGGAGGGGACTATATCATGGTAGCTGCAGCTATCACACTGGTTTATGGGCACATGTGAGGCCCTCTTTAAGGATTCCAAAAATAACCTGTGTTTATTGGGCATAAATAGAAATGTGATCTTATTTTGTGGTCACAGACTGGTGAGGTCAGCTGGCATTTGGTTTTTAAATATAATACATTACCTTACTGCAAGGGCACTATCACACCCTGTTGTTTGTGAATGTGCCAGTAGCCTGATTATCAAACCCAGCCACTCAGAACTCAGAACACCTTAATTCTTCAGCGTCCCACACCAAGTGTTAACGATGCCTACTTGTACCTAGACTATGG